GCGTGACCGGGCGACGTTCGGTCTGTTCGCTGCCCCACCTCTGACGTCACGCGGGCGGCTGCTGCCGCGGTCGAGCACCGGGGACCGGCCCGGTAGGGACATAGCACGTGGTGGTGGAGCGCCGGCCCGTGTGAGCCATTAGGCGTGTGGTATGTCACCGACTCGGTCCGTGGGGCTGCAGGCATTCGACTCACTCGAGACCTAGAACAGGCGACATTGGTGCCTGGAGATGCTGACCTGCGACTTATCCGAGCCGCGGGGCCGTGGCATTCGACTGATTCTGGTCGAGGAGCTGCTTACATTCGACGGACGTGTGCCGCGGGGCGGTTGGGGAATTCGACTGATTCGGGTTGCGGGGCTGGCGGCGTTCTACTGGCCTGAGGAGCCAGCTGGCTGGTGGGTGTGGCAGGCGTGCATGGTGCCATAAAACAAGTTTCTGGACAAGAAATGGGTCAAAGGCATCTCAATAGTTGAAGTCAAATGTTGTCGGTTGATGCTCAGCTTCAGTTGAACACACGATGCAGACGTCGCCCAAGTGTTATCCACGGGCCATGCTATCGTCTAAGCGGGTAAGTCACTAGGGTGGGTGGGAGAAAAATGCCTCTTCACGTCGCGGTCTATCCAGTAGTGTCGCGTAACGTTATAGAGGGTTTTAGTGCGGACTTTCCACATGTTAGATGTCCTGCCAGAGTCTCCGCTGGACGAATTTCATCCCAACTACGGCCTGCAAAATGCTCCCAGTGGGGAGGTATTTGCAAGGCAAATTGGACTTTTCCGGAGACGACCATTAAATCCTCGTCTTATCGCAAAGGTTGCTGTCCTCTGCGGCCATGGGACAACTTATAACATCTTGTAGGGGACAGAGGCCCAGTACCGATTAACAACAAACAATATTATTGTTGTGGTAAATAAAAAACAGTAAATTAAGTGGTACTTCGTCTCGAAAAGCCTGTATTTGAGAGAGTCGAAGGTATCGTATAGTGTTTTCTCTTAATCAGCCAGCTGTCAGTGACTACATGGTGCAGCCGCGTTACAGGTAGATGATACTGTTCATCTGACAGGCACTGAAAATGCGCATGGTTTAAATTTAGAGCCGTAAGACTAACATCGTTCAGTATTTTCTCTCCATACTCCGGCTATTACGACCGCACTGTGTAGCCGCTTTGCAGAGAAATTATATCATTCATCTGACAGGCATTCCAAAAACCTCCAAAGGGAATAAACCTCTGAACTTTTAGAAGTGATCTCCAAATGTGCTATCACCCAGCTAACAATGGTTCAACATTGAATCTTGGCTAGCATTGAACCTTGGGTAGCCTACGGTTCAGCATTGAGCCTTTATTTGCTCAGTTGGTTGCTCATTTGGTCATTTCTTCGAAACGCGCAGGATCTGATTTCCTGGCGAAATTTCATTTCCAGCACCTGCCATATGAGCAACACCTACTTGCAAAACGGCTGCACGACGCGGTCCTAGGCAGCCAAAGCGCGGAGAGTAAACGCCACATGATATCAACCTCTCAGCTATGTATCCAAAGCTCAGAGATGTCTTACACACGACCAACACACTCCTCTTCGGAGCACGCCTGGTTCGTGTAAGATATGTAAAATGTTATGAGGACGTAGAGGCGAATCAATACATATCCAGCACTGGCCGAGCCGATGTCGACGTATGGAGGCCAGACGTTTCATAGCAACCAAAGTAGCCCAGACCAGCCGCCATGAGACTGAAATTTCCAGTGGGTAGTGGTCTAATTTATAAAGCCGACATCAACGCGAGCCAGCAGTTTTATTATAGTGACGAGCGGCAAGTGCTGAAGGCCATAATCAGCGGTGAACCCCTAAATTACTCCGCGCCGCGGCTGTGCTTAGTAACAGCGATGTCTGATGGCGAGCCCGACGAGACATTGTGACGTAGCACCCAGCCCAGGCCATGTCGGGGTGCAATGGCTGGCCTGCCGACACGAAGGAAGGCCATCATCTCAACGCAATCAATTAAGACCCGTTTTAGTACCGAGTTTTGTTAATTTACATTCAATGGTGTCTTTAGTTGGTCAAGTTTCATGTTTTTTTTTACTTAATCCTGCATTACTCTATGCGGAACGATCCTAAATCCCCGAGCGTTGAAAAGCAATTTTATAAATAACCATAGTGCGAGTAGGTGCATATTTAGATAAATCGCCATTATCAGGCTGAACTTCATAAGACTCCAAAAAAACAGCCTCGGACAGCTCTCTGGGACGCATTTGCCTCGACGACCTGCACATCTCTCGTTAAATGCTGTTGGATGCCGCTAAACCCGCCCGCACCATCTTTGAGCCAGGGATGCACCGCCCACGGCTGCGGGAGCCGGCGGAATCGGCAGCTCCCGCAGTCCAGACGGCATGGTCAGTCCCCATGATGTCGATCCAGATCGCGTCCGAGTGAGCGATTGATGTCCCTGGAGCCGTAGTTACTCGGCTCAGGCACGGCTCCATCTAGGGTAAACGCAGACTTGCAGGCCGCTCACACCCAGGTCTGCCGGCTGTGCTCCCCAGCGACTCCAGCAGCGCAGACTTGCAGGCCGCTCACACCCAGGTCTGCCGGCTGTGCTCCCCAGCGAGTCCAGCAGCGCAGACTTGCAGGCCGCTCACACCCAGGTCTGCCGGCTGTGCTCCCCAGCGAGTCCAGCAGCGCAGACTTGCAGGCCGCTCACACCCAGGTCTGCCGGCTGTGCTCCCCAGCGACTCCAGCAGCGCAGACTTGCAGGCCGCTCACACCTAGGTCCGCCGGCTGTGCTCCCCAGCGGCTCCAGCGACGCACAGCGGAATGGAGGTCTGCTCGTCCCTAAGTCCTCTCCCCGTGACCTGACGCAGGTCTGTGTCGAGAGGTTTGGCTGTGCATTGAAGCACCACTTACTTCGTCGAAGTCCACCTTAACCACGAAATGGTTCGAGTGATGTACTATGCGCAACCGTGCGTGCGTGCATGAGTGAATGCGTGCGTATGCATGCGTGTGCGTGCGTACGTGCGTGCGTGCGTGCGTGTATGCGTGCATATTTAATAAATTTTAATTGTCGACCATGGAGCAGCACCTTAGCGGAAGGAAAAGATAAAACCCACCCCCGCATATCATGTTTCGAAATGTTACTTTCGTCAACACAAGTGCTCCTACGGCATTGCTTTATGCCAGCAGCATAAAATGCTTAAACAAGAACAGAAGAGGATCGGGACCATTGCAATTTTCGAAACCTATTTGGTTCTTGGACTCATTTTTATGATTATTAAACCATCGTAGGATAAGCAGTTTTCTTACGATCGACAAACAAGGGATGTAGACCACGACGAAATAAACCACATGTAATTTCATGGATGACCCCCGCTCAAGGTTGTGAAAGTAGTTATTCTCTTTTCTTTCTTCAACCCTCGTAATCCTTTATGTGATGACAGTGAGGAAGCGTCATTTTATAGCCCTTGGTACATATTATTCTAGGTATGTATCAGCTTTATCGTTGTCACCTGTCAGGTGTAGCCTGTGAAATGTTGAATCAGGACATATACAGGTCTCCTCACCCCGTTACCTTAAGAGCCAAGGATGATACGACCCAACCCAAACGCCGGTAAAGGGCATCCGTTAAACTGCATTGAGCGTCATGAATGATTTCGTACATACGTTGGACCAGGCCATGAGAGGCAAAATAAATATTTCCCAGTACAGCTCCTCTTTTGACACAGCTGACCTAGGTCAATCTATACATGATCTGGTACACGCTTATTTGAAAAGATTCGATTAGATGCGGATGGCAAATCAGATCCGACCTGATCCTTGGATTGATCCTATCAATACGACTGCGGCTGCGTCGGGGCCGCATTATCATGCAGCATCACGAGGTAGGGCAAATCAATACGGCGAAATTCTTCAGAACGCATATTTGGCAAAAGACGTACGTTGTCGGGCTTTTGATAGAAAATGCAACGGACAGGACCTCGACAGCGCGGTTGTGGCAAGGCTCTCCCTGCATTCCTTAGGTCATGTCATCAGTCATGATCTGAGGAAGTTAGAGGTTAGAGTATTTGCATTTGCATAGAGGGTTTGATGGAACGTTGTTTAAAACTCACTCCCTTGAACATCTCAGCATCATGCGTCTACTGGTTCATATGTTTTTGCCAAGAACATCTCATGGAGAGCTCCGCTGTCCACGATCAGGCCACAGTAATCGTTCACCTGGGAAGAGCATTGTGGGCGGCTTTTTAAGTGAGGAAATTTGACTTGTCAAAGCGTGCCTATATTTTGAATTTTGACGGGGCAAACTTAAAAACAGAAATCCAAAGCGCAGATTGTTAAATCACGTCATTCTCAAACATCATAAGTACCGACACGTTTGTGATTTGTCTTCGACCCTAATGTCATACCCTAAAACGAGCGTAATTCCACTGGACACCACAACAAAAGTGCCGCCGGGTGGAACGCGGTTCCGATTGGGTACGTATCAAGGTATAGATTAAGCGGCATAACTCAGTGTAAAAAGCACACTCTTGGCGCAGAAAAGATGCCGTATAAATCGGGAGAGTACGTTGCAGCTTTCTCCTAATTTATTTCAGCACAATGTTTTGTTGGTAGGTACAACCTCTTTATTCAAGATTTTAACAAAGTCTTTTTGACCTGATAGCAAGGTGGATAGCAGAAAACCTCCGTATTGCTCTTAGAATCATTACAAAACACTCAATAACTTACTCAAACTTGGGAAGAGTGTTGTATTCACAGATATGCTGCTTGCCTTCCTCTGTGAGGGGCTATGCTTTTTAAGATCGCTATTGGGTTCGGATATTTCGTAACATAATTATTTCACACACGAGATCTCAGTCACAGCCATCCTTCCAGCAAACGGTGGTCAGGTAAACTCGTTGAGCCAGCTTAGACGATCATAGGAAATGGCGGCCGTGGCAGCGATGGCGGCCGAGTCAAGCCCGGCAGCTAAGAGCGCACGTGAATACGCTCGAAGTCCGCAGGGCGGCTGCTCTCACCTGTTCACATGCTGTTCAAGGGCGCCACGGTCAGGTCTGGCGCGGCCGAGCGGCCTGTTTTGTGCCCCAGCCGGCCGGGATCAATCGACGCCGATGCTGCGGCTGCCGGCGACGCGCGTCGCTACCGACGCTGACGTCACGGGCGCATCTCGTTTCAGGAGAGAAATCTTTACGGGTCGCGCGAGAGGCGGCGCCCGCCGCGTCGACCCGGGGGACGCAGCACCGCGTTGACACCGCCAAGGGGAAGAACCGCAGCTAGCTGCGTGTCGCCGTACCGCGGGGACGACGTGGCGCCGGAGGCTGCGGTGGGCGGCAGGGCGGAGAGGACGGGTGACCAGTCCGGCGAGCCCGGCGGCCGGCAGCGTAGTCCGGGGCCGACCGCGGGCCGGGCTCGGTCGGCGGCCATCGATCGGACGCCGGCCAGCCGCCCACCGTGCCGCACCGCGACCTGAGGCCGCTGAGGGCCGCCACCCACCGGGCAGAGCACTGCAACCTGAGGTCACTGGGGGCCGCCACCCACCGGGCAGAGCACTGCAACCTGAGGTCACTGAGAGCCGCCACCCACCGGGCAGAGCACTGCAACCTGAGGTCACTGAGGGTCGCCACCCACCGGGCAGAGCACTGCAACCTGAGGTCACTGAGAGCCGCCACCCACTGGGCAGAGCACTGCAACCTGAGGTCACTGAGAGCCGCCACCCACCGGGCAGAGCACCGCGACCTGAGGTCACTGAGAGCCGCCACCCACCGGGCAGAGCACTGCAACCTGAGGTCACTGAGGGCCGCCACCCACCGGGCAGAGCACTGCAACCTGAGGTCACTGAGAGCCGCCACCCACCGGGCAGAGCACCGCGACCTGAGGTCACTGAGAGCCGCCACCCACCGGGCAGAGCACTGCAACCTGAGGTCACTGAGAGCCGCCACCCACCGGGTAGAGCACCGCGGCCTGAGGCCGCTGAGGGCCGCCACCCCCCCCCCCCCCTCCCCTCCCCCCGGGAGGAGAGCATCGCAACCTGAGACCTCTGAGAGCCATTATCCACCGGGCAGAGCACTGCGACCTGAGAACCCTGAGAGTCCTCACCTTACGGACGAAGCACGGCGGCCCAGGACCATTGAGAACATTTGAAGCTTAGGGTGAGAACCCACCTCACCAAGCATCACGATCTGAGAGACATGAGCATCTACGCCTACCGGCATTCCATTTCGACCTGCGACTACCGAGTGTCTGGCACGGGATCTGGGACCACTGAGCACCTTTTCATACCATTTTTCGTCATTTTTCGCTAACTTTCGCCATGTAACAGGCGGACGGAACGCTTTTTGTTAATTGCAAAAACGATACTTAAAATGCAGCCGGGCGTTAAGGAAGGCCCTAGATCGCAGACGGGCCGGATGCCCTACTTTGTCAAAAGCTGAGCGAATGTCAATGTCGTTTGGTCTATCTGATGTCCTGGATGTTCGCACATACATCGGGCCGGTTCCCCAAACGACGCCGTCAATATACGGCTATCGCTTTTCGGTCTGCTTGTCGGCGCCCTCTGTAACCTCGCCAGGCGGAGAGCAGTGGCAGCCTGCCCAATCTGATAGCAGACCCGGTCCCGCTCCCCGCGGCAGATGTGCCGGATGCTGACACCGCCGACAGTTGCAGGCTGCGACAGTGCTCTTGCCCTGTGGCTGGGGCCTAAGCCCGTTTTAGCACACGTTTTGATTTGCAACCGTTTGCAACGTTTGTCGAAAATGTTGATTTTCGATCGGTCTCTTGCGCTATTTTTAGCACCGCTGCCTGAAAGAGAAAATCTTAAAAGGTACGACCATATTGAACATGTCTTTCTCGAATTACTTTTAGTCATGTTGGGAGTAGAACTCCTATGACAAAGCCGTGGGGATGAAAATGTGGCTGGGGCCCTAATCACGGACTGATGCGACCAATTTCGCAATAAAAACGAGCCCTCTTGTAATCATTTGAATAACAATATCGCTAGGCTGAGGTGTTTGGGTCGTGGAAATTGCATAAGCCGTTTTGTTCTTTTGACAGGTGGCCGTCCATCACGAGAAGTATTTCACTCGTGACTATTGGCCAACAGCAGCGAAAGTAGTTCAAATATTCAATAAACGGGTCTACCATTCTGTGTGGGTCCCATTTTTTGTAGTTCATTCACTGCAGACCCAAAAACCCTGACTCAGAATATACTTTCTATGCTATTCGAAGCCAAAACTGACACATTATCTTTGGATCATATGCATCAAATACAAATTAAAACAAGTGTAGCATATTTAGTTGGTTTTACTGACCGCCCACTTAATTTCGGCGATTCCACCGCGGTAGAGACGCGTGGAATATCCACCATTGTGATCAGTTGCAGCATTAGGCATACTCGTCCGAAACACTAACGAAAGTTTTGCTGAAGCTTTGCGAAAATTAAGAAATAACATTGAAAAACTCTTAATAAGACTAGATAACACCGACTACACCGCACTATTCCTTCGCCGGGGCGAAAATTGCATTACAAAAATAATTTGTTTGATTTAGAAAACAACAACTGATACGTAATTTGTTCTGTCACCGCGACCCAAGTCTGGCTTGAACTGGTCGGGGCAGCGAACGTTATCAGAATGCCTGCCCTCGTGAGGCTGTATCCGTCGTAGCTGTAAGCGCGCATGACGGCTGCGCTGGCTTTTTTGTGAGCTTTAGGACGCGCTCCTTATGTGGCAAGTGGTTATGAGCCCCCCCCCCCCCCTAGCGCCAAGCTGACCCCTAGCCCCTCTGGAACGGTTCGCCATCCCTGTGTGCGAGCCCACCGCGGCCGCTCTTGAGAGTCGCGGTGGCCCCGTGGGCTCCCGGCGACACTCCTGCGACCAGACGGGACGAGAACGCTGGACTGGCAAACCACTGAGCACGGTGCGGCGTAGCCTTGACAGGAGCGCACACATGGAAAACCCCATGCTGGCCATGGTGAGCGAGGGGATTGGCACGACAGGCCCGAGGCGGTCGCCCTGATCGGGATCGCTCGCCGGCGCCGCCGGTCGTGGCCCATCAGAATTTACAAACGCCTGGTAAACAACCACTGAGCTAACACCTATGCGGAGACGGTGGACCTTAAGAGGCTGCAGAGCACGGAAGCATGCGAGAATATAAGAAGCATCTTAGAAGATGCATCTTATGCGAGGGGTGATGGCGAGTTTCAAAAGTTTCGTAACGTGGCCCTGACATCGGCTCATCCCAGCCACGCCCGTCATAGAGAACGCGCTCCACATTCGTATGGGGTTTTGAAGTGAAAAAGCCATCTTAAAGATCATCCGGTGCAGTCCACAGCCTTGCCCTTCTTAAGGCCTAAACCCCTCTAGTTTCTAGGCTACACGCTCGCGAGGATATACAGACTATTTTGGGGAGTCTTTTTCGCGCAGACTACTTCAAGGTCACCCAGGCATCCATAACGACATAATAACGTTATCGAAAAGCCTGCCATTCCACTGGTCATGCGGCGACCAAGCCCCCCAAAACTGAAGTGTCGAGTCGTTCATATTTGTTGTTTATGACCACGGTTTAAAGGTATAACGGACGGTAATTGGTTCTCAATCAATGTGTTGCGCGGTACGACGACCCAATTAAACAACGACGTATATATGACAAATTATATTGACTAAATAGAAAATTGTGTCATGTAGAACCGTCTTTTCCACTGTCATCTAGTACAGCCTTTTCCATTTAAAAGGATACCAGTAGTTACAAGTGAGCTCATTTGATCATATCTGGTGCTTGCTTCAATATGCTGTAATTTGGAAAATTCCCTTTAAACAGCACGTTGTCTTGCTTTTTCACCAACTTGGGTTGCAACACCACAGCACTGCATTGCACGTTTTTAAGTGGAAGAAATGTCGCGTTGGAATTATCGCCGTCGTGGGTCTGTCCATTGCAGTATTTGATGCAACAATAATGCATCAACACCCTTAAGTGTGCACTTTCAGGGTGACATCCCCGTCTAGTGCTTCCATGTGTTCGCTCTCTCCGATATGTCGGTGAACCTTAATCTATGGTGAAAGTAATGAATGACATCGTCTGTGGGAGTATGGCCCGCATCATATAGCATAAATGTCACACATAAATATTGACGGCAGAAGTAAGGTCGCTTGGAGGTAACGACGATATAAGTTGTTGTAGTAGACATGACGGGTGCAACTTTCTTTCTTATGCTTTTGCAGGGTTGGTTTTGTCATGCTGCGCTCACATCGTGTCTGACTTTTCTCGCGGAAGGAGAAATGTCGCAAGTAACTAAGGTTATACAAGCCTTTGCGGTAGAAGTGATGGCGGGCATATGTTTTTCTGCATAAGCTTTGTCGTGTAGCACTTATGTTGTATAGGAGCTTTTGCGGTAAAATTAATGTGGCGGATAATTAAAGGCTATCAGATTTTGCTGTAGATGTAATGACGAGCGAATGTGTTTACAGCATACACTGCATGATGTAGCACTCATGTTGTGCATAAGCCTTTGAAGTGGAAGCAATGTCGTGTGCATGCGTACAAATTAAGTCTAGAGAAGTTTATGTACTGAAAGTAATGTCGTCCAGAAATAATCTCGCAGCAATCCTGTCGGTAAAAGTTTTTACGGCAGTACTTTTATCGTGACACCGCGCAGAGTGGAGGCCATTCTGACATTGGAACTGACATGTCAGTGATTGGAGAAGACTTCCTGGGGCAGCTCGGAAAGTGCGCGGATAATTTCCTTCCGCCATCTCAGTACCCCCCCCCCCCCCCCCCCGTGAATGGGATAATCATCGAGCCGGTGAGCATCTTACCAACGGTTCTTGCCCTCCGGGATGTCCGGCTGAAAGAAGATGACTGCATATTTCCAGGAGTGCGTGACCGTACTTCTGGTGTCGGAAGCCACCAATGAGCTGAAGCTAGTCCAGGAGGTCCCCTCCAGATACCCCCACTAGATCACTGCTGTAGATCAGGAACGACGAAGGATCCTCCTGCCCAACGCGGGCGCGGCTTGTTGAGTGCGGCCTGCCGCAGGTATGGCTTGTAGCGCGCCGCCTGCCGCAGGTGTGGCCTGTAGCGTGCCGC